TATGAGCTAGAGTCACCAAACTTGCCATGTAGCTTCTAGAATAGTATATGTGTATTAAGTATCTTTCATTTTATACCTATCGCCTGATGGAAGAAGAGGGTTTAGGGTATCCCCTAGTCGGGAGCTCCCGACTAGAACCTCTTACTTGTTCCGTTTGTGACTGGCGTTGCAGACAGGAACTCAATTTGAGATTTGTGTAAATAGGAGGTGAGCATGCGCGCAGACACAAGACAGATGTAGCTTTGTCGCCAGCTATCTTGACTATGCCACAATTAATTGCCAGTTCATCCATCAATGTGTAAATGATGGTTGGCGCCAATATTTCGCATTAAACTGAATAAGCAGAGGCCTCTAAACATTTTGCATTTTACTAAAACAAGTATTCGAAATACTTTCATATAGTATATACAATTTCTACGAATTAAACATTTTAAGGAGCGTGTGTACTGTTCGTCATAAAAAACTTGTGCAGTCTATTTAGTATGCGTCCTGATCGTCGCCCGCTTGAGTTAGGTATACACAAGGAATTTATAGCCATAAGTAAAACGATTGTAACACCAAGTCACTGGCGCCTCTTCAGTTATAGCTAGCATTAACCCTGTGCCGACAACTTTGCGAATTGCTGGTCATCAATTTTGCCGAACAGCCAACGCCAGACCAAAACCACCGCGCCGGGACTACTAATTGTGCGAGAGCAACACCTGGTTGCCCCGTCAACCACCAGAACGTAAATGTACCTGTACCACGCAGGTAAATGCACAATACCGGAGCACTCAATCGCAGCATGGATTAAGATTCCACCCACATAGTACATACTTCTGCCCTTATTGCATAACCAACGAGTATTGTCGAGGCGAGCCAAAAGATGCCTATCAGCGACCCATAATTTACACGTCTACGCTGCTGCCAGCTGTGGCCAGTTGCTTCTATCCGTACCTGGCTGGTCCAAATGGCATCCTAGTCGCAGCAGAGAAGACATGCACAGTCAATTGGCGCCTGGTTTCAGTGTGTCCACGCAACATGCCACAGCTTAAGCCCAACCTTCGGTGTTTTCCCCCCCCTATATATATGTGGCACTTCGCAAATGAAATATAGTATGAGAAGCTTGGCAGAGTTAAGGTTTCTTATTTTCCTATTTTTGTTGGATGTATGCAATTAGTAGCGATATTATGTAGGTTCGTTAAATGAAAATTATTATTTACCTACGGATTGACAGACAATCTCAAAAGCACTTTAAGGATCAGCAGGTTTTTTCAATGTTATTTTTGAAAAATTGCACAATCAGGAACGTAACAGCTTCAGTTTAACTAATACTTTAAAGTAAAACCATATTGAGACCAATTTACGTTTCTTGATCAACTTACACATTTGGCAATGTCATATGGACAAGGGCATATTGAGAAACGGATTTGACATTAGCTAACACGTTATGGATATACAAATTCAACCAGAAGCTGACATGCACAACACAAGTGTTAAAAACTCACATTATACTCATGGGCTAAATAAAGCAAGCAAAATCAAAGCGAAAAAAATCAATAAAACAATGTTGTCGCATCGAAATCGCTGGAATATTTGTTTCATCCTGAACCGAAAATAAAGGCATACGAATGTTCAAATCGTTTAACTTCGACTTGAAGATACCTAAAAACTCTGGTAATTGTTAAGTATATGAGAGATTACTTATTAAATTTGGTCAACTTTTACTTATATTCTGACCAAGAAAATATTTGTATAGTATATATACATTATCGGGAATTCACATATTAGCTATTAAACATAATGCGCCTTGGCAATGTTATGGTTACAGGGTATATGAAAAAGAGAGACGTGGTAAAGAAAAACACAGAAACAGCGACTAGTTGCTGGCGGGCGAAACGCCGAAAAAGGATGCGAACGATGTGCCCAACTACCATATAAAAATATGCAATCAGACGAGTGAAAGATTGATCTCGAGCGATATTCCAAGAAACCGGGAGCTTGAGCAGCAGTCGACGCTGTCGTTCCCTTCGACCTACACACTAATGCAATGATTTTTGAAACGTTGCAGGATCAGACTCAAAGTTTGCAGCAGGGAACAAGTTTCAGACCGTATTGTGAATTTATCGCTTACACGAAAAGGCAACTTTAGCAGTAGCTTTCGTTAGGCTTCAGAAGCGGCACAATTTAATTCTGTTTTAATGTTGCTGAATCGATGTAGCCATCCGCAGTTCTGGGTTACGGCTATGGGATACTCTGTTTCCATTGTAACACTTAAAATCGGGCTAAAAAGGTTTTTCGAAGCGTTAGCAAGTTTGTTCGTTAAGACTATGAGACTTGATCGGGCGCAGGTAAACTCGTATATTAACGAACACATATCAAAAATTTGCCTTAATTGTATTTGTTCTTACTGAGAAGCAAGCAGAAATGCACCAAACGAATACACTAAAGAATTGAGAACAAAAATGGGTAAAAAAAAGGGGCAAGGAAATACTGGTTTTTAGCGTCCTTCATCTTCAATTTGCTAGTTGATTGTCTTCTAAATTTGAAAGTGTCAGCTTTCCACCGGGCAGGTGAGATTTTTGGTAAACAATTAAGCCAAACATTTTCTGATAGTGTACATTAAATTCTCGCGGTCCGCACGGGCCACAGTTGTCTAACCAAAATACTCAGTTATACCCGCGGTAGACGTGGCGGAGGGAGGCCCAAATATGTAAGTCTCAAATTCCACAAACACAAAACTTGGAATAATTTACTTATGAACTGCTTTGAAGATCGAGTCGCAAATATTCAGACAACGTCCAAGTCAGAAAATCCTATATTTCACACAGTTTAAATAAATTTACAATTGAGATTTTATATTTAATGATTAATAATTCTCCTACAAATGTTTTCATTAACCAACTAATTAGTAAGGCCTACCAATATTTGTGTCCTTGAATCTTCCGCATTTGTTAGTTAGCACGTTATTAGTTCTGACAGTTTCTGAAATTTACTCACTATGGGTAAAGAAGAGCGCACCGTTGAGTCGAGGGGATAAGAACACGACTGCAAGACTCACATCACAAAAACTGATTGATTTAATGTGCTTTTTTATTTTTATTTTTTTATACCGCAGGTATGGGTATAGATGCCGCTTCTCTCAAATATCTGCGCACCCATGCCGGACAGTTTTTCGATGACTTGTTGTTTATTTTTTTGGACGGCTTGCAATTTGGTCGGAAAGTGGCTATTATTTAAGACTGGGAAACAAGTTGCATTCCGATGACCATTTCAAACAATTGACAGAAGCAGCTACTGGTGCGGCACCAGAGAGCGAAACCTCAATTGAGGTTTCATTTAGAATGTGGCCGGCGGTGCCGCACTGCAGAGAGGCATTGATTGTACCGCGTTCGGTGAGATGGACACAGATGGAATATTGATAAGCCCTTGACCAAGCAAATAATGGTAACACCGACTAACTTTTGCGTCTGGCTGGCTAATCGTAGGCCATTGACCACAGGTGACGACGACAACATGCAGTCATCTGTCGCACAGCCAATTTAGTTTAATATACACATGTATTAATTATTATATGTAGCTACTCAAAGTCCCAGTCCAAAACGGCGTACATTCAAATTTGAGGTATTACTACCTATTTAACTGCAGTGTAAATTCGCACACTCTGAAGTGAGTCATCAACATAACACAGAGTCAAGCTTCGATCAATGCAGCTAATAACGTCATCAGTAGTGACAAATTACAGCGATGACCGGAGCTATGTACAAAATGCGAAAACGGATCAGGAAAACTTATCAGACGGTGTCTTGCATCATAAAAAGCATTAAAAAAAACAAAACAGTTCATAATTAATAACATCTCGAAACAACAACAACAAAAAAAAGGTTCATCAGTCGCTGCACAGTCAATACTCGGCAAACGAAACCTGCAGTAATTGAAACAAGCACGGGACGATCATCGAACGGACAGTTGTGTCGAGCTGTTGCCCGATTTCGACATACATACATACACATAATTTCATTCGCGCGACGACATTTTCATTGCAGAGGCGGCAAAGCGAACAACATTTTTAAAGGTAGCAGCGGTTGAGTTTTTTTGGCCTCTGCCAACCCATAAACGCCTAATTAATTCAGAGTTTGATTAATTACAACAACAGCAACAACGAAAAAATGGTTGCCGTCAGCAAACCTACCTGACGACCGTAATCGCCGGCAAGTCCATCAGGTGTAGTCGAGACATTACCGATCGATTTCGGGAATTTTAATATGCAGTACTTTATGCAAAAAGTCGAAGCCTAAATTGCCTGTCAAATGTACTTGCCCAAGTAATATTCAATATATCCTTGTTATATATATCTTTATACGATTGCTTGAGCCGCGCTGCAAAAAAAAAAATATAAATGATTTGACCAGGTAAAGAAGAACGTATAGAACGTATATAGTAGTCGGAGCGTTTAATTAAGCAAATACTAAAGCCAAGGCAGACCGCTGACGGCTGCACTCATTGGACTGGCAGTGATCCACTTCATTACCAAAACAGACGAAAAATGCGTGGCACGTTCGAACTTGAACCATAAATAATATTGCATTTTTTTTTGTTCCCAGCGACAAAGCAGCGACTTCCTTTGGCAACCTTGGAAAATATTTACCGTCTCTACTTGACGTTTTCGGCTTTGCCCATTTTGATACCACTTTTTGCTGTACATGCCTAAACAATGTCAACTGTCGTGCTCAACACATGCAGACATAAACGTCAGCGTCAGTTAAACGCAGCAGGGCCCAGAGACACAGCATCAGCAAACTGGCAGGAGGCGTCCTTAATCGATTATCATTTTTAATAATCAATTGAATCTACAGTCCACCTGCATTCTTATTATGGGCTGCGGTCGACTTGACAGCACGTTGACATTTATGAGTGGAAGAAGCGCCCTGCAGTTGCACCAGGCCCGTTTTGAAGTGCGCTGTGCTATTTGCTGTTTTAATTGCAGATAAAAAATATGTGGCAAGAATGTTAGGTAATGATTTAAATTATAAATTTTCGCTCATTTGGGGCTGGTGTTTATTTAGTGAATGTGCTTAGTTACGGCTCGTAAGAGAGTAATAATAATCAGTAGGTCCTTTTAACATTTTATCGATACTGCAAGTAGCGTTTGTCCTCTTGAGCTGAACACGTATGTATACCGCGTACAATATTTAAAACTCTTTTGAAGTGGATCCAAATACAATTTGAGGGCCATTTTTTAATCATATAAAACGACTAACGCTGACAATAGAACGAGCTGTTGGCAAATCAGATAGCAAAATCAAATTATGTATATAAATATTTAACACATTGAACTCACTGGGAGGCCTCGCCGGCAGCTTGACCCGTTCAACGACAACATTCCAGAGCTTAACGTCACCCCGAATGTTAACCATATCAATATCTTCGGGATTCATCTGATGTTTAAATGTCAGTAGCGAATAGCTGTTGACAAATAACTCGTAAAAATTCTTCCGACAGGCGATTATGAGAACAAACGCCTTGCCTGGACCCAAATGTGTATGTAACCGTGAGACTTCACGATTCACCCACGTACCATTTATATAGGCGCTCCTAGTAATAATAGCCTTGCCCACTTTGGCACGACTGCTTCGTAGGAAATTGGGACTAAAAAATAATGATACTGTTGGCTGCGGCCAGATATTGTGACCACGCTGTAATGTCACGCTAAAACTTTGGGGCATAATACGAACGCGACCTTCGATACGCAGCACATGGCCATCGGTCAATTTTTCGTCATTTTGCATTCGACCATAGAATGGTACGGTTAACTGAGCCCGAGGATTGCGGTCATGCTTGAGAAATTTGGGTGGAGCATTAATATGCAGCCAATCGAGCGGCATGCTGCTATCACCATCAAGCATAAGATCCCGAAAAGGTTCGTTGATATATTTTATAACGTTGGCCCCACTACGGCTGACACGAATTGGATATTCCGTCACATAGAAGATATCGATGACCATGTCAGATACATCACCGCGCACATCTACCCCGGTTAGCCACCTGTATGGCATACGGTAGATATATTGTGCGAAGTGAAAGCCATTTACCGATATATAAAATGAATTGTCTGTCAGAAGCACCTGCATCCAAAAGGTTTTGCCACGTTTCAGCTGAAATGGTAAATTTGATGAATTTTCTTCTGGGCCCCACTTGCCCATTAATCGCGAATTGCGTACAATATAGTTTTGTGGAAGGCGGACCCCGATCTGCAAAACAACATCGCAGTCATCACATCGTTCGCTTTTCCGCTTTGACAAAAAGTCCATAACAAAGTGCTCGCAGTCGCTAAGAATTAGTCCGTGAAAGAAAAAGCAAAGCCCGGGCACTGCTGGCTGAACCAGCTTGAATTGTTTCCGTCGACTGGCAGCGCTGCGTTCCTCATAGAATATGGACATAGCGTCCAGGTCACGCCGTAGGGCAATGCTGCGCGCGCCCTCGTAGATATCCATGGCCTTGCAGCCGCCTGCGACTGTTATGCATGCTCAAATAACGGCCTCTCTAAAAGTAGCTTGGTGGGTTTTAAATGTTTTACCGGAATAATTTTGTCAAGTGTCATGTGAAACAGTTTAAGTCAAATAACCAAGCAATAATATAAGGCAACATTTTTTGATTTACAAATGCTTTTCTTTTTTTGCTAAGGAGGTCCTTAATGTGAAAGTTAAGTTTAGATTTGAAAAACATACAACATTTTATTGAAAAATGTTAAATTGAAGCACAGTATAGTAAGTATTTGATAAGCTTTGTATCATATTCATAACAAAATTATTATAATTATTGTTTATAACTTTAACGATGCAGCTTAGTACGTCGGAGGAGTTTAAACAAAGTAAACCGAAAATTGCAAAGCAATAAGATTTTAAGAAACAATGCCAAGAACCAATATGCAGGAGCTAAATTAAATTTGTAATAAAAGTAAATATGTTCAAATATTATTCACAATATGCACAAATATGCACACATCAAGATTTTTCCCCACAACTTATGTACTTTCCTTCATGTGCATCATAATGATAATATGCAAATTAATAAAGGTACCAGGATCCTCTAATGTCAATTATTTTTAAAACAATATATACTGGTTATTTGTGTTTTAATTCTTAAAACTAGATTTGGTGTTACTTTCACAAGTTAAATGATAACAGTATTAACAAGGAGTACCGATTGTTTCAAATCTTATTCATAATTCACAATTTAAGTAAAATAAAAAGATTAGCGAATTGCTGGTTAATATTGATATTCTGGCTCACATAACAAATTTTACTAACATCCTTACACATTGCTTTTTTTACACACATTTTGCTTAGATAATTTTATTTAAAAATACATTTTCGAAATGGTTCAAAATCTTATTATTGTCACTAAAGGCAACTGGTATAACTTAGGCTTTTGAAGGAAAAAACAAAAAAGGTTCAGACGTGCCACATATTTCATAACCTAATACTCTTCTGTATAAATAGGATTATGATAGATACGCACATTTTTGCCCTTAATCATTGGATTTGGTTCTAGTGTCACATTCCAGAGCTTTAAATCACCCTGAATGTATACCGTATCCACAATATCTGGCTTAACATGGAACTTAAATTCAGTAATAAACTTATGGTTAACATAGACTTCAAAAGAATCCTTGGAGCAGACAATTGCTAAGCTGAATGTGCGGCCCGGTCTTAAATTTGTGTCCAGCTCGGACCGTTCTTCTTGAGCCCAACTTCCATCATACCAAGCGTTACGGCAGACTACCGCCTTGCCTATGGCACCACTGCTTGTTTGCGAAAAGCGTGGATTCAAATGGAATGCAATAACGGGATGTGGCCAAATATTCTGACCTTGCTGCAAATTGATGTAAAATGAATGTGGCAACAGACGTACACGGCCCTCAATCTTTAAGCAACGGCCTTCTTTTAATGATTTTGGTGTAATTGCTCCGTAATATGGAAGCGTAAGACCTTGATCTGCAGAATCGTGGCTGGTTTTTGATGAATTGTCCGACATTTTAGCGGGCGCGCTAATTAAACACCACTCGTGGGGTATACTAATAATCTCCTCAGCATTGGCATCAACCTCGTCCATTTCTGCAGAAAGATGCTCCTCTATAACTCTTGCCGCCGATTCTTTCAGACGTTGCGGGTAAGTCTGAACTATAGTACGCTGCATTTCCACATCCTCCACGTCACCTTTGACTTCAAGATGTTTAACACCGCTGTAGGGTACGCGGTGCGAGTATTCAGTAAAATGATGACCATTTATCGATATCATGTAACAAGCGTCCGTAATGAATACTTGAATAGCAAATCTATCGCCACGGCGGAGTAAAAACGGCAGCGCTGAGGACACTTCCTCACGGCCCCAAACATCATGGACTTTGGTGTTGCGTACAATATAGTTTTGAGGAAGGCGGGGGTTGATGTGTAATGCGACATCCCGCGTCTCATTTTTGTACATAAAATTAATGGAAAATCTGTGGGTATATATTATTTTAGTATAACGACAGACGTATGATTTATCCTAGTCAGTCACCGCTCGCAGTTGATGGCAATTTTTCCGGTAAAGGTAAAGCTAACGCCTTCGCAGAGTTGGCCAATTTCATCGGTACAATACTTGGGCTGCGCATCGGAGTATTCATAAAAGGAAGCCTGAAGTGAATATTAAATTATGTATTGTTAATATTTAAATTATCTACATTACAATGATGTCTAGCTGTTCACTTTTGCGTTCAAAGCTGAATATATCAAAAATAGATAACATCGACATTTCAACAATTCAATGTGCAAAACAAAAAAAATGCCTACTGTGGGATCTTAAAAGTACTTATTATTATAGTGAGCGGATAGAACTTAAATCCGTTCAAGGGTTTAACGTATGTCTATACCTGCACAAATTGGTTTAATAATAAAAATTACTGTATTGTTGTCAAAGTAAATACTATATATGATATGAATGACATATGTATTTTTAATTTATAACAGTTTTAAGCTTGATAAACAGAGCACAGAGTTGTTCGTTTGCAAGATGCACACATTTACAGAATATTCTAAATATATTATAATTATCTTTTAAAAGCTAGTCCTTGACTCACTGCTTACCTCATTCAAACCACCCTTCCTTCCAGAATGACAACAACTAAACAGTTTTCTGCACAAAGTCTTAAAGCACATCTCATAAATTGTTTAGTTATAATCACAGCCAGACTTAGTACAATTGGCTAACGCTTTATGGATTTTATGATGTATATATACTATACATAGACGTACATATATGTTATTATAGTCTTAATGAGGTTTTCCCGTTTTAAGTAAACAGAGTTGTACAAAAGTAAAAACAACTTTTTGTATACGAGGTCAGCGAAGCCAAAGTTCGTATATAATATTAAAATTTATAATATCACAGTTATTATTTTGCTTCACATATTTTGTTACAATCCCACTACATATATTTTTTAGTTTGTTTATCGAATATCCACTGCTATAGCAATTGTTTCTACTTATTATAATGTCACACATTACGCTGGGTCTCGCCCAAAATGAGAGACTTTAAGCAAAAGCGCAGTGTTGAAAAGCTTATTCATATATATGTATGTACATACGTAGATTGAACATGAAGACGTGAGTAGAAAATTAATAAACGATGACAATATTGTTTAATAAAATAATATAATATAAAAATATGCATAAATATTAGAAAATAAAAGTGCAAGCCCTTACATGAGCGTAATGACAACAACGTAGGGTGGGACTATTGTGTATGCCACAACTGTAAAACAGCTGTGCAAAAGCTCACAAGCTTCTCTCCGTTAAAATGAGAAGGAGAATAGGTGACAGAAAGCCCGATAAATGTCAAACAAAAACGCAACCACTGAAAGTTGCTCTCATCTAAACTCGGACAATCTCTGACAGACATTTTCAATATAACAAATTGAATACGTAATTGAAGAATGAGAAGTCTCAACGGAGACCATTACAATAGCATATGTATGTACGCATACATATATACTACTTATTTAGTAAACACAAGAAATGCTTACGCTTGCGTCTTACGTACATTAAAATCCATACCATTTACTATTTCGATATCATTCAAATAATCCGCTTGCTGATGGTCGAAATTTTCAATGGCTTGGTAACTCGTCGTCGCTTCAATGGCTGCAAAATCGATGTCCCTTGTCGCAGCATGTTGCATGCTTTCTATTGCGTTATAGCCCGATAGGCTTGTATACTGACGCAACCAGTGTTCGCGACAGTAAAACAAAAACAATCGCAGTCGACGCTTTGTATTGTAATATTGTAAGCTTCGTGCGAAATTAAATTCGTTATGCCAAAATGCATCCGACAGATCGTAGAGTTCGCGTATTAACAGCGTGATTGCAGTCATACTAACCGGTTGACAGCAACACACGACAAAAGTTCTCGCTTTTGAGATGCTTAGAGCTTGCACTCAATGTGTTCGCTCTGCCTCTTTTTCTCTCTCTCTCTCTCTCTCACTTTCTGCTTATTCCTTTTCGAGCAAACGTTTGAATTGAATGTATGTATGTAAGTTAACACATATGTATGTATTTTTAAATTTATATGTATATCTCTCTGGATTTTTGCTGAACACAAGCAAACGTGCTGTGTTGGGTACTCTCTAGATTGATCTTAGTAAAAACTACACGGCTCTCTAACAAGGTACTACACACTACACACTAAAGTTATCGACTGTTTCATACTTATGATAGTCCATACATAAATATGTTGTTTTTCGCCGATAACGCCCACACACGGATTTATATAAATAAAATATGTGTACATATTTAACGTATTGCTAGATTTTTACAAGATATTCTCTACACTTGGCGATAAATTAGTATATTTTACTATACATATTGTGCTGATATACTTACATCATTAGAGTTTACATGTAAATAATTCTCTTCATCACTACTGTTACAATCCGCTACACGTTTGCGTTTCCCACAGCAGCAGCTCATTGAATCGCCTACACCGTCCACTCTTTCCAAAAAGTATTACTATCGAATGTTATCAAAATACATAAGTCTCTTATCTGTGGCAAAAGCAACTTGAAGTAATAAGACAAATAGTAGATAAATGATTCAATGTGTGTAAGAATGAGAACATTTGAATGTATAAATATGGGCGCGTATATGTGCAACGTAACATTACAATATTATACTACGGTTCCCTCTAAATAAAACGTTAAAATAAATTCAGTTAATAGTCACATTTAATTTTGAATTTCCCTCGTTTCTATACAACCGCTGCTACTCGCGAATAATGTTCAACTGATGTTTTGCTTATAATTATTTTGTCATTATGCATATGTACATTTTGACATACATACAAAACACAACGCTAAAATCTACTCACGGGTTCTTGCGAGGCCGTGAGATCATATACATACAGCCGTGAATTATTCTTTCTCTTTATTTATTTCATTTGTTGCGGTACACCTGCGATATCGGGGAAAATGCAAAGATAGCTTGCGAAACAACTGATATACGTCATGCCGAAATTTAAATACCCTTGTTAACATAGCAAATATGTGGTATATTATAAAAAAATTTGCATATATATTTAAAAGTGCTTTCATATAAAAACTCGTTATCTGTCCGATTGATTTTGTAGGAGCTATGTGCTACAGTTCGACGATAATATTTTGAAGATCTCATTTGCCTGTTTACATCTTAACAGACAAAATACTTATATTGTATATATATCCCGGCCTTATCCAGTCCAAGTTTATGGCTTAAAATTTAAGAAGAATTTTGAAACTCCACACCCAAAGTAATATTTTATATAGATATCGAACACAGAAGCAGGAATCAACGTTTTTTATCCAAGAGGTTTGGATTTTGGGTAAAAAAAGTATGAAGTAGATAGCACAAAATTAAAACTTGGCCCGAAATATCTTTGATGTGAAACGCATCTCAAATTACTCTTCGTGATTTTTCATACTTGCGGGGCGAATTACCCAAAAGCCCGTCTTAGCGTACACCTCCATTACTTAACTACAGTTAAAACTTCACTTTCCGAGCTCTCACTCAGTCAGGGCAAACAGTTCTATATATATATATTTTTGGTGACTGGGACTTAATGAGGGAAGGATAATTCAATCAGGTATCAAACTAATCAAACAAAGCCTAACAAATCTTGAACCTCTCTGCCGATAAATATTCAAAGTTTTAAGTCTTAAGCTTTCATAGTAGCAAAAAACAAACGGCAGCAAAAGGAGATTGCAAAACGTTAATATACTCTACTCCTCTTAACAGAGTATGAAAATTAAACTTTGCAACAATATACATTAGTTGTTAGTCTATAATAAACTAAACTATAACATGTAATTAAGCAATTAATACCAGTCTAAATAAATTTGCTGGTTCTGAATAAAAATTGATTTGAACAACAACGGGTTATTTTACTGGTAATTATTAAACATTGATGGCATTGCCCATATTATTTTTAACCATGTTTTCTGTATAAAACGAACTTAAAAATTATCGCTAAATTGGACAATTGGAATATACCCATTTCCGTTTTGCAATAGCATTTTGTTAGGAAATTAATAATGCCAAAGAAAAACACATTTTAATATTTTCATATAACGTGATTGCTTATAAGGACAATTCATATATTCAACTCTTGTTGAATAATAGTTAAACTATTTACGAATAAAGTACGTATATACTGTGTACACTGCGTCTTAAAGAAATATGAAAAGTGTTAACAATATCTGCGCATATTTTATATGTCAGACGAGAGCGCGAACAGTTTATAATTAAAACTGGCATGCTCAACAATTTAACGGTGCCTGGTTGATCGCCTTCCCATAGCATGTTGTGACTTTGGAGTCGACAAAGCTTTGTCGCCCCCAGGAGACTTATAATACTTGGACATGGTTTTGCTTGTTCGCGTTGGACGATTAACATGCTCCGTGCTTTTTTCTGATTCTGTTTTTAATGGTAAATCATCGTCTTCATCCCATCGGTCACTTTTCCTTTCTTCAGCACCAGAGTCTTCGTCATTGCCATCAGTTTTTGATTTATTACGATTTCTACGGTTTCGTGACGACGAAGAGCTTACATCCGTGCGTTCCGATTTCTCACTAAAATTATATTTACATTGTTAAAAAATAAGGAGAATGGGAGCAGTTGTTATACTTACTCCTTGACCGAAAAACTGTTTTTTTCAGCATTCTTTGTTTTGCGCTTTAATAATGCCAATTCGCGCTCAGCAATAGCCTTTTTGTGTTCCTCGGAAGAGTCACCGGCAACCGGTTTTGTAGTCGAATCCGCCATCTGCTTTACGGGCTCCTCTTGTTTGACGCGCTTTAGCTGTTGCTGCTGTTCTTGGGCCTGTTTCAACGATCGCTTTAATGCACTGCGCAACGTGTCACGGGAACTTTCCGTTGGGGCATCTTTGCCAGGCTGCGGCAAACCAATAGCTTCCAAAAGTTTTTGGCCTAGCGCAGACTTAACATTTGTTTTACGTGTGCTTGCATTCGTTGGTTTGGCGATGTTGCCAGCTGTGCCTTCAGTAGCACTGCCCAGTTCTAGATTACTGCTGTTAATGGGTATAGCTTCCGGAACTGTGCTAGAAGGTGCTTGTGGTGCTTCCATTGCGTGCTCGTTAGTAGAAGTTTCAATGATCGGAGAACGATCGGCAGTGCAGATAGTCTCTTCTGTGACCTTGTGTTGTTCACCCTCAGTCTTACAAGTATCTTCATCTGTTTTAGGTATGGAAATCTCTTCTCTGCTTTTGGTTTTTGGACAATTTTGCTTCGACGCTTGCACAACGGCCTTGCGACGCTTGATGATGGGCCGAGTTACAGGAGGAGGTTCAGATAATTGGAGTGGCATCGGGAAGGTCGAAATATCACCATCAGGTGCTGGTGGACTCTCCAGTAATGGTTGTGGTTCAACAAGAACAATATCTTCTAAATTCAGGGGAGTGCTTGTCGAAGCACTTCGGCGACGCCGAATCGCACGCTGGCTTTTCGATGCCTGCTGTTGCTTTAACATAGAAATAAGCGCTTCGTTAATGACATCAGCTGGATTTTGGCCAAATTGTGAGATTAACATGGCGTTAATGTTGAGCAATTCGTTGGTAACATGTGCGGCATTTGATGTGGTTGCAATGTCTGCAGTGTCCATTTTCTGTCCATTTTCACCCAATTCACGCATACGTGACTTTCGCTGCGGTCGCTTTAGGTGAGAGTCCACTGGTTTATTTGTTAATGTCTGTGGGTGGTCCGAATCTGTTGGACTGGATGGCACCAATTGTACCGAAGTTTCTGGTGGTAATTTATATGGCATCGTGCAGTCTCCTATCGTCTGTAGTTCAGTTGTTACTGACGGACTCGTGCGTGGTGAAGGAGTCTTATTAGAATTAGCGGACGGATTTGGACGCTGTTGCTGCACAATAGCCATCATTGGACCTAGGTATGGGCCCAGTAGCTGTGTCAGATCGTTATCTTGCAAAAGGTTGTTGTCCGACATAATCAC